CGGTAAAAACGCAAAGGTTCATGGGCAGACGCTTGTTTGTAAACAGTTACACGCTATGGCTATCTGACGCATGCGCAGGTGACGACTCCCCCGCTTTAAGTAAAATTATGCACACACACACACACGTACACACTTACGTGCTTGTTACGGTGAAACATTTATCGTTATAGACTCAACTGATGTGAGTTTCGTTTACACGCACGCGTGGCATCAGTGAAATGGTTTGGACCGTACGCACTTGTGGCAGTGGCAGAATAGCTGCAGTGTGAATATGGTTTAGGCGCAATGATGGAAGTGGGATTATGGACGTGATTTAGATGTACTACAGCGGTGCGATGGCTGCAAGGAATCGGGAATTTAAAGCGGGAGGGTCATCACCTGCGCACGCGCGAGAATTGAGTCCCAAGCGACGATAACAACACACGCTAAAAACGCAAAGGCTTATGTTTGTAAACAATGACACGCTATGGCACGCTTTAAAATACCACTGCATGATGCAACGATGAAGCCAGACATGGTAGTTACGCATGGTCGAATATCGAGATCGTTCGGTGACGTCATATATCATGTACGTTATATGTACGATATGCAAGATGTTGAATCGTTGTTCAATTTATGATGGGGGGGGGGGCAGACCAATGAACCAACACGAAAAAATACCGTGATATAAAATGTTTTGATGACAACATTTAAATTAATTCGACCAATAATATCTACTGTTAGAAACGAACAACAGTATGATATAACTAGGGCCGTCACTACACGTGTATAAATAAAGTATTGCATAGCGAGGGTGGCGCCATATATGTAATAGGCCGCAATCTCTAGTATAATACCGGGGGTTCGACAAGCTACGTGCTTGATACTTCAACCTTGTACGAATCACGTCCGCGTTCTTGATTTGAAACTGAGAAGTGTATCTTGATATGTTTACTTGCATTTATAATTGCGATATAGTGAAAAAGAGACGGGGAATGATATTTCGCCGGAAGTTACAAATAAAGATACACTGATGATATTCCTGTTTCTGTCATTGTTATCGTGTCCTCAATACATTCAGAATCGGGATTGTTCAGCTGAGAAGTATTTCTCGTGCAAAAAAAAAACGTTTGTCTTGGTGAAAAACAAAACAATAATATGGAATATAACTAACAGCGTTGCATTAAAATGTATCATTCATTGTTAAAAAAAAGCAGGTGACCTCTTATCCACATAATAAATAAATAGCATGCTCGCCCTTGATTTCCCGATTAAATGCAGAACTGGGGTCATTTGAAATTTGAGCTCGTTTCCCGGTCCCGTCCTTGTTTCCAAAGCATTACTATTCATAATTACTGATTAATATGACGCTTTTTTATTAATGGACACAACACTTCAAGATTTATATTAGTTATTCGCTGTATCAATAACAACGTACGTTTAATGGCAGCGTTGACATAATACTTGTTTGCACGCTGTTTAACGCGAGTTGTTACGAAACTAAAAATAGTCCCATTTTTCATCATACACCAAAGCTCGAAAAACTTGAACAAAACCCCGATATAAAATACGGTGGTTGTTTCAATGTTAAGAACATTGACATTGACAAAATTACATAAATATCTACTAAATTCTGAAAGACTATGTTCGAACATGACACATAATAAACTATATTCGCAAGTGGCCGCCGAGATCTCGCTAAGTGCGAGAGCGCCACGAGACTTGTTAGTGTTCCAATCTCTACCGCCATTGCGTCCACTACTCCTTGTCACCATTGTATTTGGAACAGGAGACGCCATTTTGTTGATTGGGCAGGAACAAAACGAGTCTCATGGCTTTATCTCTCAGCAATGTTTCGACGGCCATTCGCGATTTAGGTCTACTGAAAAAATCCGAGAAACTGTTGTATCAATATTATAGCAGGGGAAATCTTGTTGTAAGGGTGATATATGATTTGAAAAAATGATCTTATTAATTAGTTTTGTAAATGAGCTTTTGAAACCCGTCTAAGAAAAGACATTACATTGTTAATAGACGCCCGACGTTCATAATCACTCCCAACTTATGACCTACG